GGTGGGAGGGTGGGTGGGAGGGTTGTAGGGGATGCCCAGCTGGGTATGGAGCAGGGCCCATATGGGTATGTGTATGGGGAAGTGATGACCCTTTCTCAGTGGTCAAACTTAGGGATCCTTGGGGCAGTCCCTTCATGGGGCAGCAAGTGGCTCTGGTGGGAGGAGAGAGCCCCACCCGTTTCACATCCAGTTCTCTCTTTCCTGTGGTGGGGTTTAGGACAGGGATGCATCCCATGGCTTTTAGCATCTCTGGTGCAGATAAGATGTTGAACCTGCCTGTCAACCCTGGCCAGGTGCTAGGCGGGAGCAAGCTGCTTCTCAGAGGAACAGTGGATCTGTCATACAATACAGCTTTTCTTTGAATAGCGTATTGTACATAGAAAACCATGAGGGCTAAATTAGTTGTTATCATGGAAAAATATCTTGAAGTTAGTGTGGATAGTTCTCTGAAAACATCTAATCATTGTGCAGCAGCAGTCAAAGAACAGATAAGAATGTTATGAACCATTAGGGGAGGGCTAGCTAATAAGACAGAAAATATTATAAGGACATTTTATAAATCCATGATATGCCCACACTTTGAACACTGCATGCAGTTCTGGTCACCCCATCTCAAAAAAAGATGTATTAAAATTGGAAAAGGTACAGAGAAAGGCAAGAAAAGAGATTGAGCATGTAACAGCTTCCATAGGAGGAGAAATTAGAAAGACTGGGACTGTTCATCTTAGATGACTAAGGGGGAATAGGATAGAAGTCTATAAAATCATGAATGATGTAGAGAAAGTGAATAAGGAAGTGTTATTTACCCCTTCATGGAACAGAAGAACCCGGGTCACCCACTGAAATGTATAGGCAGCAGGTTTAAAACAAAAGAAAGGAAGTACTTGTTTACACAACACACAGTCAATCCGGGGAACTCATTGCCAAGGTATGGTGTGAAGGCCATAAGTATAACTGGGTTCAAAATGAATTAGATAAATTCATAGCTATTACCCAAGATGATCAGGGATGCACACCATGCTCTAAGCCTTAAACTGCCAGAAGCTGGGACTGGGCCGCAGGGGATGGATCACTTGATAATTGCCCTGTACTGTTCATTCCCTTTTAAGCCTCTAACATTGGCCACTGTGGAAGACAGGATAGTGGCTAGATGGACCATTGGTCTGATTCAGTATCACTGTTCTTATGTTCTTAGTGTATCTGGTGCAAACTGTAACTCTGAAAGCATTTCCAAGTTAAAAGTTACAAAGCAAAGTTTCTGGGAACATTTTAAAACTAGGTGTTATCCACACATTTGTGTGCATGATACTTTTTTTTTTAAATGTTTCTAACCATTTGTTAGGTGCCCAGAAATCCTTTTGCTTCAAACTTGTCACCTATGGAAACTTGGCAGAGGGGCAAGACTGCTTGTGCATTATGACGTTGTATCTTATTGCCATTGAGCCCTTCAAACAGCACGCTGGTTTCTGCTGTCATTAGAGACCATTGGTTCTGAAAAATTATCAGTTTCTTTTGTGATGTGGTGCCATAAAAATGTGAGAACTTCCTGCTCAGTTCTGCAAAGTGGGCAGTCTACCTGTGTAGGTGTGTGTCTACTAGAAAACCTGATACCTGTCTTTCAGTCAGTGGTGCAGCTGTGCTGTGCTAGCAGCCTGGTAAGTGCTAATGTAGTTAGAGCTAGAGCGCTTTTAACCAATGTTTTAAAAACCTGAGTTTTGTCTGCACTGATGTTTACACAAGTGACTAGTGCTAGCTACTATTGTGGTACTACTGGAAAACAGGTGCAAAGATTTTTAGTCTAGTCAAGGTCTTTAATGTGAGTCTTCCTAGCACTGCACACACAATGTAAAGGATAAAAAATGAGCCTTTCTAAACTTGGAATGGGTTTAACTAGTTTAAGATACTTCTCACATGGGTGAAAGCCCTGTTGCCTTTTCTTGTATTACAGTGTACGTTACTTATATACTTTTTCATTCTTTTAGTCAAAAATTGAGCTATTTGTGAATAGACTGGACTCAGTAGAATCAGTTCTACCTTATGAATATGATGCGTAAGTACATTACAGTACAATTCTAGAGTGTTTGAAAGCATGTTTTCTAGCCTCACCTTTATTTTTATATAAACCAAAGTAATATGATTTATAACTTGATACATATACATACAGTTTGAAAGAACTGTCAGACACTTGCTAGCTGGAGGAGTAAGCCTGCTACTCAGATAGGTATGGAAGATGACAATTGGTGGAGTTATAGGGGTTCACTAGCTATGTCCTGCTAAGTAATTCAACCCCTACACTATTTGGAAAGAGGGGAAGTTTTACGGTTTTCTATTGGGGTTTTGTCCCTGGGTCCTACTATAAAGTGGGGGTGAATTTCAAATTTATCAGCTATCTGCTGTAAGACTAGAGCTTTCTGTCTCTCTTCTCCCAGTGCCTCCTGGTTACTATGAAGAGGAAGGAGGTCTTCATTATCTGTTACGCCCCCAACCTCTGTTTTTTAGTTTTTTGGGGGGATTTTTTTGGTCCTTTTCTGTGAAGAATGTTACTGCCTGCCTTTGCTGTTGCTTGTAGCTTTGCCAAGTAGAAGTGTGAAATTTGTGTGATTCTTAAATTTTACTGCTGAACACACTGGGGAATAACAAGTGATACTCCTGTAAACTTTACTCTGCTCTTCCTTGGAAAAGCAATGAATAGCTGCAGAGATACTGGAGGCTGGCTCAGTAAAACAACTCTACAAGTGTTGCATTAAATGCTGCAGAAATTGATAGCTTAGGCCCACACACTGAGATCATGAATAGTTATATTTCCCTACCTTCAGGTGTTTCAAGTAAAGGGGGACTTCTGGACAGGTGAATGGATCTCTTTTGCATACTGGTATAAAAGCCATCAGATTTGTCCCTCAGAAAATACACTTGCCATGTTAATTATTTTCTATCTTTAAGGAATCTTTTTTTTTTTAAATCGTTCTTCATTTGGCATTATGTCATGCCAATAGCGCTTTTGTATGATTTTCTTACTTCTTTTAGTCTGGAACTTATCTTACTTCAGTTGCTGTCTGAAAACGGCACTTTTACTACAATCTTACAGTATTTATTTTAAACAATATTGCTGGAACTATGGAGTGCGTTGGTGACTGATTAAAAAAGTTACTTTTTGCAGTGAATTGTACCTAATCTGTCTGCATTTGGAGTCAGACTTTCAATGGTATATTAAGCATTGTTGGTTTAAAAAAAAACCCCATGAAAACTCCTGTATCAAAGATATAGCTTAACAAATTAATTTATTTTGTAACTGTAAATTTCAGCCTAAAATGTATTCACATTAAAGACTCTAATTTTTTTCAGTTTTGACTTCTGTCAAGATGAGATAGAAAAAAGGCCTTCGGAAAATCTTGGACAAATCCTGTTTGGAGAAAGAATAGCATCATCACCATATAAGGTTATTCTAGCCATCCAAAGTGATTGTGGTTACACTTGATAGTTGCAGTCTTAACACACTTAAAAAAAAATCTCTCCTTCAATAATATTCAGATGATAGAAAGCAAGGAGATAACAACTATGGATTTTGTACTGTCACTATAAAGCAGTATCTTGGTCATTGTTAACTTAGTGCATGGGAATTGAGAATTCCATCCTAACCTGCTAATGCTTTTTCCAAGAGTATTTAATGGTATATTTTACAGAGATTATTCAAGTACGCATATGTGCAAAATTTTGGGTAACATAGAATGGAAGTTAGTTTGGTCCTCAGTATAGTTACCTTTGCACACACAATTTGGTAGAGCTATTGGTGTGATGTGGCAATATAAAAATGGCCCACAAGAATACTTGTGAGCAATAACTTGCACTCACTCTTAGGGCTTGTATAACCTAGGATTTTTAATTGTGTTGTAACATGTGTTAACTAACACAGCTATAAATTCTAACCACACTGTAAAACCAGATTAGAAATATAAATGTGTGAAAACACTTCCTTAATGGAAAAGTGTGCTTCAGCAGGAAATGTCCACCATGCTGCTGCAATTTGCCAGCATTGCCTCATAGTTTGTCATGCTCTATAGCAGCTGAAATTAAAACTTACTATACAAAAGGGGCATTGTTGGTAACAAGTAATTTCATGATGCACCGTGCTAAGTAAAGCTAATGTGATTGCTCTCTTTACTGGTGCAATACTTTATCAATTTGCAAGCGGATTATTTTTAAAAACCTTATGGTTAACATTTCAAATAGTTGTTTACTTGGATTATTCTAATTGCAGAGATTTATGTGCTTTTTGGAATGTACAGATGAAATATTTTGCATAAGTTGTACATAATCATTGGTTCTCAAACTGAGTTGAAACTGCTGATATGAAACCAACATTGGCTTCAAGAATTCTTTTTAGTGGGATAGGCTAGGATCTAGATGAAAAATAAACTTTGATTGAAAAATAATGGCTTTTTAAAAAGGTACTTTGGGAACAAAATTTTAAAATTGCTCTTTTTGTATGTTTTGGTAACAGTTTACATTTAACAAACCGGAAACATGCAAGGTAGCTTGTACGAAATCATATGACCCAGAAAAAAGTGATGACAAAAATAAACTGGCTTTTTTGAAGAAAGGAATGCAATTGAATTATCAACATCACTGGTGAGTTCAGACATCCTGTTTTGAACTATGAACAGCTAAATGAAAATTAACATAATGTAATGAGTTGTTCTGAGAGGTGACACTTTTATCTTTCTTCTATCCAGTAATTGTCCTGTAATATATTATTCTTTGAGACCAAACTAAAACCCTGTTGCTTTTATTTGCATATGAAATGTAACTTAAAAATAACGGAATAATTAGATAACATTTCGTACTAAGGAGTTGCCTGTTTAAAATTTCTTTACCTAGGATTATTGATAATATGCCTGTAACATGGTGTTATCAAGTGGAAGATGAACACAAATACTGTAATCCGGGATTTCCAATAGGATGTTTTATTACTACAGATGGCAGAGTTAAAGATGCTTGCATTATTGATGTAAGTGGTGAGAGCTTATTTCTTTAATATGGCCAGATATGGGGCTAGCTACAAAGCTGTGGTGTTGGGGTCATGTCCTTGTTAGTCTTTGTCATGGTTTTTTGTTTTTAATAAATAACTGTGTGCTTACAGAGTGTAAAACAGGCTTGATATACAAAACACAAATATAGTTAAATAAGATCTACAGTATGTGCATCGACAAAGGTAAGCACACCAATATGTAATCAAACGTTCCTCACTTTTATACATTATGTGGTTTTGCTGCAGTTTGTAGTAAACACTATAGTTAAGTATCGGGGGTAGCCAGGTTAGTCTGTATCCACAAAAACAACAAGGAGTCCGGTGGCACCCTAAAGACTAACAGATTTATTTGGCCATAATTATTGTTTCGTGGGTTTTTAGAAGTGAGGTTTTTTACCCACGAAAGCTTATGCGCAAATAAATCTTTAAGGTGCCACCGGACTCCTTGTTGTTACTATAGTTAAGGGTGCAAAATTGCTTCATACATAACTTTCTGGTGTAGCCTGGGTTTAAACTTTCTGAAATACATTTTGGGATGAAACTTCATGTTTAGGCTCCGGCTGAGGGGAATTTTTAATAGTTTGGGCAAAGTCCTGTGCAGATTTTCAAGTTCTGTAAGGGTGGAAAAACATTCTCTCTGCCACCTCCCTAACTCAGAAACAGTAGTGTGTTGAAACCTGAGCCTAGATTCTGCTCCATGCAGGCAAATCCCTGCATCCATGCAGAACCCCACTGACGTTAATGGGGCTTGTGCTGCATGCAGCTTATTGCAAGATATCACTAGGAATGAAACCTTCCAGCAAACGCCAAGAAATGGGTACTGATGTGTTTGTTGACAAATGTGTAATCCTCAAAAATGGCAGTTAAATATATGTAGTTTATTCACAGTTGTGGAAATACTTGTCAAACACTGCTTTGATGGAGAAAATAATTGTTAGCAGCAAGTGTGTTTAGTACTCCTGGTGGAATTAGTGCCAAAAAAAATTCTGCGCACAATATTTTACAATTCTGCAAAATTCTGGGAATTTATTTAAACTACCATACAATGGATGGAGAATGGGAGTGGGAAGCATTGGAGGAAATCCCCAAACCCCCTTTGTCTAATAATAATAATGTAGCTAGGTTTAAGCCTTTATTTCTAGTTATTAGTTAACAAATATATGCAGCAATATACTCAGTGTTACATCATAGGCAACTGAAGAGTAAGTGAGGGCTGGGGTATCAAACCCAGAGTTTATATTGGCTACTGACTAGCTCCAGAAAGGTCAGTAGTAAACAGTTCATGGAGTACATTTTGACAGAAAAAATTTTCAGTCCAAAAATTTAGACCAGTTCTAATCACTAAAGTACCATAAGCATTTATAAGGCCGCATTGTGAAAAACAGTGTGGCCTTATAAATGCTTATGGTGCTTTAGTGATTAGAACTGGTCTAAAATTTTGGACTGAAAATTTTTTCTGTCAAAATGTACTCCATGAACTGTTTATTACTGACCTTTCTGGAGCTAGTCAGTAGCCAATATAAACTCTGGGTTTGATACCCAGCCCTCACTTACTCTTCAGTTGCCTATGATGTAACACTGAGTATATGGCTGCATATATTTGTTAACTAATAACTAGAAATAAAGGCTTAAACCTAGCTACATTATTATTATTAGACAAAGGGGGTTTGGGGATTTTCTCCCATGCTTTCCCACCCCCTTCTCCATCCATTTGTT